GAGAGAAAAGTGGGCGCGAAATTTATCAATCTAAAGTTCAACATCATTAGCATTGATCATATGATCAGTGCCCTGTGTTTTCATAAATCATTCAACCTGTTCCCTCGTCCAATCCAACACTAGAGATAACTATACCATAAGTCAAACAGAATTACCACGCATCCTTTTAACAAAGCCAAACCACCATCAACCAATGAAAATCAAAGAGGAAAATAAAGACGGAAATTTACAACTTAATTGCAAAATATTTTTTTTTACAATAAAATTGGAATAGTTCACGTGCTCAGCCAAAGTATGTGTTACATATAACATACACTTCACTCATACCTTATCCTTATCCCACCATCACTAGCTATTACAACCAGTAAATAAGAACAGCAGAGAGAGAATTTCCCTAATATAATTTGAAAACTGAAACACAGGAATAGTCACGTGCGCACTTGAAATCTTCCAGCTTTAGTAATATATTTAACACCTTTGAATGGCTTATACTTTTCACCATATAGATCCAAACGATTGACTTTTAACCCCGACACAGCCAGCTGATTAATTTTGAAATAAACAGTAATCGGTGGCGCTTCGACATTTGTTGCACCGCTCACGGAGACCTAAAAGTAATTACTTGTTCTTTCCATTTATTCAGGATGGTCAGAAAAATGTGTAGTTCGTTTTTAAGCTGCACATTCCTCAGCTAGTCAATTCAGAAAATAATACAGTAAGTGTCTTCAGTTTTCCACTTCTTATTTTAACGATTAAAAATGGTTTGCTGAATCGGATACAGATCATAGAACAGGAATTAAATTCATTCAGTGATTTTGGATTTTCTGATGAAAAACAGTTGTTAGGAAAACCGTGAAAATCCCAATTCGTTCAGATTTCTAACAAATTCGATATGTTACAAACAAAAGAACAATGTGGTTCTTAAACTGTGTTTTTCCTTTCTGCTGTGTTCACATGCACGCATTAATCGAAATATTACAGCAAACACTTACACAAAAAGGATCATAAAAAAGGAAATCGAGTTCGTGCTTCAATCAATTTAAAACAAAAGAAGCAGTTTTTAAAAATATCTACAGAAAAGGAAATGAAAACGAATAACATACAGTTCCTTTTAAAGTCGGTGGTTTGCCCAGTTCGATCTTTCCAACATTCCACTGGAGCAATTTCGTTGTCGGGTCAAAAGAGCATTTTCCAGTGCTCGATATTAGCATACAATTTTGGACCGGCTTCGGCATTGTCATCTCCACGATAACATCTTCCAGCTGAAAATTGTGATTGTCTGAAATTATCAATTACAACAAATATAACCTGTTGTCATTACTTTGTTATGTATTTCTCATTGCATTCCATGCGAAGAGACACTGTAGCACAACAGAGAATTTCAAAAAATCAAGAAGTTATACTGAAAAACATGCTTATTGTAACTAACAGCTTACAATACTATCTACAATTCATAATTCTGATAAATAACAGAGCAAGTCTGCTTCCAGAAGATCCATACAGAATCAACAAGGACTCTCATTCACTTCAATTCCCTTCCGTCATAATTCTGATAATAGCAACAAAAAGAAACAAAAACGACACTAAATTATAAAACAAAAATTAAGACAAGAAATCCTACCACTTTACCCATACTCTGCTTTGGACCAACCGTTAGTTCGATTCGTCCAGTAGTGCCTGGCTTAAGTGATATATTATGGCGTACATATACCGGTATTGCAACCATACTAAAAAACAGAACGTTTCGTGCAAAAAAAACATAAGAGGCATAAAATAAACTTTGAACATTTCGAAATTTTCTTCCTGAATGAAGCAAAAACCTAAAAATCACCAAAGCATGAGAGCTATCCATTCATCCAGGTTTCTTTTGATGCAGTTGTAAACCGGAAATGGTTTTATTCAATTTGTTATAAATGATTCCTTATACCAACCATAAAACATTCTGTCTAAAGAAAGCTCTAGAAATGCTCATGAATGATGCTCAAGAAAGCTCCAGAAAGTTTAGCATTCGGAAATTACTGCTCAAAAGAAAATTTTATTATCACTGAACTTACTTCTGCGAACCAATATGATAGGAGAGTAAGCGGAAATTTCCATCAGGTGGCACAAATGACAATACTCGCTCACTCTGTCAAGATCATGGAAACCACATTAATCAAAAAAAAGAAGTATCTTAACATCGACCAAATGTTTTGGAACTCTACCAAATGCGGGATTTATAATTTGAGACCACATGGTCAAACCGCTTTTTTAACCTTAGAATGGACGAAATATATCAGCTTCTATCGAACTGGTCCTCCGAGATGAAAATGCAAAAACTCGTTTTTCCGTGTGAAATGAAGTTGCCTCAGATAAACAATAAAATGAAATAAGAAAACACTGACTTCCCATCGTTTAAATCGTACGCAAGGGTGAAATGAGACATCATCTAACAATCTTGGATTAATTAATGTCATCGTTAGATCAGGCATGCCAGAAAGTTTACAGCAACAATCTATCTGAAAAAACATTTCTCACACATCAAAGTAGAGATCGAATTCAAGGATTTGAAAAGCCTGCCTGACTGATGGCAATGTAGGAATAAGACCGGCATTTACGGGAACATTTTAAATAAACTTTTTGAGAATTAAACAAAAACATGAATTAAAATGCAAGATATGTTTACATAGAGAATATTAAAATAGAGTTTGAGAAGGCGGAGATCGCCAATAACTAATAGGTTAGGTAAAAGTTTAAATTACTAACATATCCTTGTATCTCAGAGAATACAGTAGCACCTTGTCGATCAATTATGGCATCAATTTCCTCAATAACGTCGAAATAAGCTTCATTGTTTGTATACTTGACATCAGCTCTTCTCCAAGGTATATTTGAAAGCTGACCAGTTGGTAACACTTCCGAAACATTCGTTCGACCCATAACCTGACCATATTTGATTATTACTGAAACGAAAATACTGTCAAAAATATCTGCAGAATGCTGATATCATTTGAAACAAAAAAGTCCAACTGACCGAGTTATTTAATCACTTGATTGTCAAATTATTTGTAAATTTTACTTGGTTAGCGATAGTTCGGAGGAAATTAGGCGGTTTGATAAGCTCTTGCAAAACGTTCAATTCTGTAGCTAATGGAAAACCATTATCAAGCATTTCATCTAGCAGCTGGAACAAAATTACATATTAACAAGGACAATATAAGAAACATAAATTTCGGATGCTTGCCAGAACGAAACGCTGGAAATGATTCGAAATAGGAAGGTGTAACGATTTCTATCAGTAAATGTGATAATCGAAATGAACCATAAGAGGGAACTATGGAAATCTATTCCTATTAATTCATTACTGACATTATGACAATCATATATAAATAATGAAAAAAAATACTTCGAAAACCATGACACAATTTTCCTTAATTGCATTATCGGTGAATTCTTCGAAGTATTCCGCAAATGTAGCGATGACGCGATGCAAAAACTCGATTACCATTAATGGTGGAGCTAAAATTAATATACTTAAATATCCTGTTCATCCATATGAATAGCACGGGTAAAACGAATTCGCAGTTTCTGGCTTTCAAACTATTTCTGTTGCTTATCAAACAATAATCGGAACACAGATTCTTTAGCAATTTAATAAACAAAGAAGAATTTAACAGTGATGCATACCTCAAAATTAATCAGAAATTATATATATATGGATATACATATACATACATACATACACACATACGTGTATATATATATATACATGCACATATATATACATGCATATATATATATATATATATACATATATATATATATATGTATACATACATATATGCATATATATATATATATATATATACATATATATATATATATATGTATATATATACATACATATATATATATATGTATACATATATACATATATGTATATATATATACGTGTAATATGTATATATAAAGAATAAGTCTTTAATATAATTTCTAAAATATAACGATTCTAAAACTAGACAATTCACAACTTTTTATAAAAAATTACAAAATATAATCAATTCGTCTTTAATCATATTAAAGTAAATACTGAAAGGCTTTCGCTTTTTAATGTTCGCATAAATTACAGCTACTGCGAATTGTAAGACTCACTTTCCGATACAGTTACGGCAAGAAGATAAAGATGGTTGTGATAAACGCTGATGAGGTAATGATGGGGCGTTGATATAACTGGTGGTACATCTTCCGGATAAGCTGCCTGGAAGTATCAGCAAATTTTCATCATATATTCTTCATATTTCCTACTTTTGAATATCTTATTACTGGGTGGGGTCTGAGTATCTTATTACTAGATGGGATGGCAATGTCTGAACTGGAACATATCATCTAGAAGAAACATGGATGCTGAGAACATATCCACTTCATATGTTCAGTCTAAAGAAGATGGTATGCTAACAAATCACAGTATGCATACTTTGGAAAAAAACTCATGGAACTGATGTTAAAATGGACAAGCCCGAAATAGTCTTTGTATGTCGCGAACAATTTTATCCGAATAGCTTATAAAATACCTTTTTTTGAGCCTCGAAAAAGTAATCACATATCGACCGATGAATAACGGATTTCCAGTGTTTCTCGAGAATAATGTCGCTGAAACATGACGCAGTAATACGATGTTTGGAAAGGAAGAAGAGATAATATAAGACTGATTCTAAGTTCATCCTTGAAGCTGATCAGAAATTCTAGATTCACATCAAGCCATTTAGTAATAAATTGTCAAATGAACTTGAGCGCACGAAAGGTAATTGCAGAACAGCGCTACCTCTTTGCCACTATCACTCGTAAATTATCACGCCTGTTCAAAGAAAATAAAAAAGACTTCATCTTGCCTCCACCTTCAATCCATAATTTCGTTATTAGGTCGTTCATCTCGTTTATCAATGATCACTTAATAAAATTTTTGCTCCTTGCATTCATGTCATTGTCAACCTTGTTACGAACTTTCCTAGGACTTTTGAAACGGCGATTGGTAATCACTGAGGTAAAATGGACTATTTACCAACTAAAATGGACTATTTACTAAAATGGACTATTTACCTAAAAATGGACTAAAATAGACTATTTACCAATTTATTTACCAACGTATTTACCAACTCAATTCAATATATTTTCCTGACACGTGCCATATACACATCCAGTTCTAGTCATAAAAATATTGGCCAGTACGGATTGCTAAACTTAGCATTCTTCTCAATTAACCATCAGTGAGCTTGCGATCTCTAAAATTCCGTCGCAAATAACATCCCCCCTGCATCCCTCCTTAAATGGAGTTTCTAAACTGCAATGTCGATAGCCCTGAATTACGAAGAACGAGTTATCCATTATTCCTATTGCATCAATCTGTTCCCTTTAACAGCTCTAACATGGTCAAATTCACACATCTAAATGTCCGGAGTAACCATTGTTAACAAGGCAGCCAAATCTCCTCAAAAAATCCCTTTCATTGATTACAAAGGGCCTTTTGTTCCCCACTCTTTGTTGATTCCCTTTTTTCGTAGATCTCATTAGATCAACTATTGTTTCTTTCTTCCGTTAATTTTCTCCTCGATATACATTCTTCCCTGACCATCAGCACCTTACCATAAACAAATAATCCTTTTAAGCCTGTTAACCAAAAAGATGGTAGAAAATTGCTAAAAACTTTCACTTCTCCGCCATTTCATTTCCATTTCAACAGTTAATGGATGGTTATAATTCGCTATTGTCCAATTCATATCAGCTAAATTAGGCATACACTAGACCATTCCACTATTGCAAACTTACTGAAATCAAGGACTATCACCACGGTTCAAGACAATCTGATCATCAACTCAAATTCATCCACGCTACTACTGTAACCGTCTTTACTTAATTTGTAGTCAAGGTACATTTTTAGCAGATGGCTTAAGCCATTTCAATCATTCCTTTCGTAATTAAGCTCACTTAAGATAGAGTAGCAATGGTACTTCTCGGTGACCCACTTATCCAGCAGCTCTCAATTATGATATTCATAATATATAAATTCCAATTCATAATGCTTTGGAACAAGTACGATACGGTCAAACCAATTCAACTTCAAGTATATCATTCAGTACTCATTCAACTTCCATCGTAGAGGGTTTTTATTCACTTAATTCGGCTTCATTCTTGCTTTTTCGGTACCACGATTCCTTTTTTTTCAGTATAAAAGCAATTACATTCACTACATTCCTCGATCTCATTTGCAATGGCATTCCCGATATATTTGAGTCCACATTAATTTCCCTCTATTAATGTTCTCAGCTGAAATGAGGCCACAAATATCCTAACCTAGCCTAACTACTAGGCCAAATTTGAGGAAGTTCCCTTTCGACTTATGTAGACCTTCAAACTATAAATACAAGCATCGTACTGAAAATAATATTAGACATCAATTTAAAAACTGAAATTTATCTCAAAGCAAAAAAAGAAAAAGTCACTCAGTTATCAACAGAAATGAACTTTGCAGAGAGTAAACAATTGAGATGCAACGACAAGACGTATGTGGATTACACACCAAATTATTCCCTCTACTACGGGGACAAAATGTGACATGACTTATTAATGATAACATACCCAGAAGTATTCACAATAAACAGACTGTTTAGCATTTTTCTTTCATCAGAACATGTCCATCAATAATGGAAAATAACGAGCTCAACAAAAGTGACTTCCCCAACCTGCGAACTTCGAGATCAAAGCTTCCAAGAAAACGAACCACTGCTGCAAAATCCAGATAGAAGTAAATCGTCTAATCCACTGTATCAACATGACTAATAGTAACTTTATTAGAGATATCATTATCATCCATTATGCCCAAAAATTTTGCTAGAATGTACACATTTCCGAATGTACACAGAAAATACCGTGTGTGAAAATGCAAGCAACAAAATTTTATTCACAAACTACCTTCTCCTTTTTTCCTTCTTTTATGAGAAAAGGAATGAAAATATATTGGTCTATCCAGCAAGTGTGCATAACTTGCAAAATTACGACGTAATTCGCATATTACATATCATTAGAATTCATCAACTGCTAAAGAAGAGTCCGAACTGCAATTCATGTTTCTATGCGTTGTATGCCTAGTTTATATGCGCCAATAATTTTGGTATGGATTTTGAAAATACTTGCTTTCTTCGTAAACAAGCAGCAACACGGACAACTCTCACGAGATAATGAAAAAGAACTTTGAGCAAGACCTTTAAAAATTATCAAGAAAATATCTGATTCGGAATAAAACTCAAGTCTTGTGGCCAACCAAGTTTTAAAAAGCTAATTAAACATATAAACATTTTGCACTCGTGAATGACGAAACAATCCGGAAAAACAAACAGTCAAATAAGGCATCACATATTATTACTGCTACGACTTTCTTGGATTTGAAAACACGTTTAAATGACGATTATTTAAGGATGAATTCAGACTATTAAGCTGAGCAGGTAAATTGTTCATATTTTGTGATCTAATTTCATCTGTCCACGGATACACTCCCTGGCATGATATTTTCTCATCTTTTGCAGAGGAATGGAAAGATGACTGTTGCCTTGAATTCATGTTTTTCTCAAAAAACGAATGATTTAGGCGTCCTGACATCCCAAAAGATGTCAAACGAAAGTCTGGCTGAAACTGCCGAAGTCCATCTTTATTCACTGCAGCTGACCAAAAAGATGAATGCTGCATCGGATTCCTGCAATATGAAAATGGTTGCACTATTTTTTTTTCGTTTTTTTTGTAAAACATAAAAGACAAACCAAATTAGCCCATCTTTCAAATCATCCTGCAAATCCCAACATGATTACTCTCCATTCAAAAGATTTTGGAACAAACAGAATACATGGAAATCCCAAGTGAAAGTAACTTACTGTTCCATACTGCTACCTACTACGCCACCGCCATATTGTCCCGGGCCACTTCGACCCTGTCGCGTTATGTTATATCTACCACTGTTCCTACATTTTGATCGACCACGTTTTGACGTGTATCGTGCTTTTTTGCTTTTAGGACTATCAAATATGTGCTGACCTAAACAAATATTACTAGATAAATGGTTGCATTTGAAGCATGAACCATAATATATGCACAAATCTGCTACAAATTCAAAAACGTATGTAGGAAGATACTGTAAAGTTGAGTGAAAAAACTTGAGAGGCATTACTAGAAAAAGGGCTAATATGCAGATCCACTTACTTCTATCGCCGACTTTTACAGACCGGTGTTTAGCTTTATACCGTTGTTCAGCTTCATCATCACTAAACGCCAGCATGTCATCAGGACACTCCCCGTCACCATCCCAACAGCCGTCAGTTGCCTTCTCGCTGAAAAACATTTATCTATTAACAAATACATTCACTCCATTTAGTGCTGACCACTACTGATTGTGTTATAACTCAAAGTCGATCTACAAACAATTCAACAAACAGAAAGAACGTAATAAGTGATTCATTAAATAGTTACTACTGTAGGCTTAATTCAAGATGTTGCGATAGTACCACTTAAAAATACTATCGTAAATCATACTAAACGAATGTTCGTTGACACTGATCACTCACATCATAATCAAAATATTTCAGTTCCCACACCTTCAATCTCATCAAACTCAGCTGTATTCATTCAAATAATGAAAAACCCACTGCCTCAACTTCTCCGTAAGTACTGTATGAGTGAACTGAGAAGCCGCCGGAGCATAATACATTGCAGTACCCACTTTCCACTCACTTGCTTCCTTAATATCATTGAAAAGAATCGCATACATTGGCTTAACAACCGGTCCAAAGATGTCAAATACCTGGAATAATGCGGCAATCAAACCATTTAGTCAACAAATTTACCAAGTAAAAACAAGAAATAACGGAAGGAATTGCAGTTTAATTTATTCTGCAACTTGAAGAAAACAAAAGCACGTAAGAGTCACACCGTAAAGCACGCAAGAGTCACACTGTAATGGTCTGGTACTTATTACGATAGCACATAATCAAAAATACCCTAGACCAACGTTCCATCTGCTCCATTACGATTTCATCAATTCTGTTGAAAACAAAACTTTAACAGTTGTCGAGGAGTTTCAACAAGCTATTTAGAAACCAAAAATTTTCCAGAAAGAATATCTGTTCCCCGCTCTTCCTCATTCATATAGAAAAAAAAGAAAAGAAAAAGAACAGAATAAATGTACCCGTCCTACAGCGTTGCGTTCAGCATCGAAAATGACAGTCTCGAAATCAAGTGCAGTATTTGAATCAGCCTCAATTACTACTGAAACCAGAACAGAAGTTGTATTTATATTACGCAATACATAGACTGCTTATATATTAAAAATGTTAAAATATGAACGTAATACACAGAACTAATACAAAAAGTCTACAACTAATACAAAGGAAAACACAATGACAATCTATTCCGTTTGAGGACAAATACCGTAGAAGAATATTTCGACGACCATTAAAACCCTTCATATTCATAGGATGATATATTTTCAACGATAACGGGTTGAACCTTGGTTTATTTCATAGTAATATGATATTTGAGAATATAGTCACCGATTACAGGTAAAATCCGCCACAGTGAGTAATACAGCAAAACAATGAAACAGCATATATTCCCGAAATTTCTGCATTACCTAATCTGTCGACGATGTTCATAATTTTCCCAAACTGTTTCAAGATAATGTCTTCTTCAACATGAATCCTGAGTTCCTCGATAGCAGGCATTGTATCATACTCATGCTCAATAAGTTTCGCATTTATTTTCGTCGAGTTGGCAACTTCCACGTCATCGTCTTCCTCCTCTTGCTGTAATGACGTTTGCCGTCGAGTAATTTCCAAAATTCTAAAAAAAAAATCCAGGACAGAATTTTAATTAATCGCGAAGAAACAATAAGCTGATTATTCAAAAGAATCAACAAACGTTCAAGATTTAAACCACAAAGTTAAGATAAAAAAAAAAGTTCGTATTACCTAAATTTGACAGTCAAGATTAAGAAATATGGTGTTAAAAACTGAAACGGTTACAAACAGTTAGCTAAAATAGACCACTACCCGCACTTATTTGAAACACAGAAACTACTCTACTTAGCTGGCAAAGCAAAAGTCTTTTGTCTATTTAACGCTCCTAATCCCTTCAACTGATTTCCCTTAACTGAACGTAATGGAAATTATCCATTACGTTCCAAACGTCAACAATGGTGACGAAAATGTAGCATTCAATATTGTTGAGTGAAATAAAGAAACAAACCTATCGAATTCCTCATCCGAACTATCACTGCTCGACTGAACAGTCAGCGCACTTCCCGACCGTCCACCATTGTCTATCGTACAGTGAGCGATTCTTAAAACAATACAGTGTTGAAAAAATAGTTCTGATACAGTCGAAAACACAAAAAGCAAAAACTATTATCTTGTACAAAATTTGGAATGATTCTAGCAAACCTAAAACTTGTTGGATCGACAATACTGAAACGGTCAAAAAAATAATCGAATGACATACATCCCTTGCATACCAAATCAACGATGTTAGTTACAATTTCCGCAACAGTTGTCTGCAGTAGGTCATCCTGAAATGGACTTCCTTTATGATTGAAGCAATCAATGTACAGACGGCCAAATCAATACTGGCCAAAATTAACAAAACCTTATAACCTTCCCTTCGTTCTGTACATACCACTCCCATATTACCTAGCTTCAGAACGTTGCAACTTTAAGAAGTATGTGAAGTTTTATCGACCTGAAAGAGTAATCAAATATAGAAGGAAGAGAAAACCTTGTCAACTTCGTTATTCACATGTACCATTTGTACCTTACTTACGTGATCATTGCAAGCGATAATGTCATCAGAATCCATTATGATATCCTGAAATGAAGAAACTATGACATGGGTGGAACATTTTTGATGTGCATCATTGCTTCGCCTTTAATACATATAATACTCAGGTTCAATTGCGCTTGATCCATTAGCGCTATGAAAATTGTAATTTATGTGCTAGTGTTACGTGGAAACGAGTGATTTCAAGACACGCGTTCTAGTATTACTGGAAATCAATTTAAGCGGTATGTATCACGAAATGAATGTCGCAAGGTATATAATTATGCATAATGCTTCGTAAATAATAAGATGTATGTCGTGTGTTGGATGTAAAAGTACACAACAATTTCCAGCACATTATTAATTCGTCCCATAAACTTGAAAATTCTTTAGAAATTTTTTTTTCTTTGAGAAAATGGATAAATCCCACGCAAATTCGGAAGAAATAAGCTGTTAATGATTTCGCAAAAGTTAAATTCCCAAGTTTTCGAAACTCTAGAAACCAGAAGTCCGAAATTTCCAAGAAACTAACTTTCCAAAAGTCCAAGAATGGAGAATCCTCAACGCCCAGCGAAATAAATACATCGTGAGAACATTTCAATCACGCGGTCCTAGAAGAGGGACGATACGACGAAGCTTGTCTCAATCGAGTCCATTCTGTTCTGCGAGTTGGTCGATTTGGGTTGAATGGGATGTGTGAGAGCTGATAGACTTTGGAACTGCCTTCTTCCGGTTAGAAGATAAAGATAGGATAGCTGTTTATGGAGTATTAATTGACAAGAGTGCAGTGAACTGGATCCGGTTGAGTCGTGTGATTTTTTGTTGTTCGTAACTTTTGTCAAGATTTGCAGGGCTCTTAGATACCTCGTAGCCCGCCTATTTCGTTGATTTGTGATACCAAGTTAGATAATATATATCGTATTTGTCCTACTTCATCTATATATAATACCAAAACTGCTATCTGAAATCTCATGTTCTATACATTATGGATTTAGCTTATTTCCTGTTGCTGATGATATGTAAAACGCACCACGTATCATAGCAAAGCTTGAAAATTTTCGAACTACAAATTTTGATCCATTAATAATTAGCAAATCCATCCTAAATTATTAACAAATCAATGATCACTTGGATATTATCAGTTATATACTGTTTACGTTAATATCTAAAGATTCGTGCTAAATAAAAACATCAAACGAATTTTACAGAATGGTGGAATTACGGAAACCCGAAAAGTTGGAGGATCAAAAAGGTCAACCGGAATCGTCTTCATCCACAACTACGTTGACGGTGCCTCCGGTTGTTGATTATGGTAGTGCTGCGGCATATGCGATCGAACTACGTAAATGGTTATTCACAACTCACTGCTGGGCATTTTGTCATCAGATGGCAACCATGCATTCATTAGCATATTTGGCATCATGTAACCGGCCAGAGATCATGGTACCTCAGTCACCACTCGGTGTCACGTTGCCACCATCAAGTGTTCCCCCACCAACTACTAATCTGTCAAATTCAAATCAGTTCATCCAGCGTCACGCTATTTCATCCTTTACACGACGTATCCTTGCGGAAATTGTCGATTCTATTTTTGCATTTATCGCAAAATTACTAATTGTCTACTTACTGGTGGAAATCGGTGTTGTGTAAGTATGATATCTATTCAATTTCCTTATAGTGATAGATTTCTCTATTCTACATACAGCATCGCTTGCCATTGCCTTTAACCTGGGGAACGTTTGTCAAGTAATACAGTGTTACCTGTTGAGAAAAAAAGCTGCAATTTTTAGAGCACAAAAATATTCCTGGATAAAATAATTACTGAATAATACTTTGAGATTATAGGAATCGTACTGAAACGACATTTCCAGGGATCTGGATAAATACGACCGATTATTGGGTGATGAGGCTGACTTGCATACGTTGATTGACGTAACTCAGGAATTGTTCCCTATTGAAATGCTTGCAAAAATCGTCGTCAGTATTGTCGAAGTTCGTATAATCCATCGCATTATTATGTTTTAGAAATATTTAAGAGGGAAGAAAATCTTAGGTACAGATGATTTTAATATAATACTCTTACCTTGGCTATTAATACAAAAAAAGACCTACTGCCCTTTAAATATGCACTATAAACTCATTGAAATATGTCATTAAAACCAGTATTAGTTCATTTGAAACACATCATTCCACCCCAATCAATTTCGACTTAAATTGTTATAAACAAACATACTTTTACCAGATTTCCTCATTGTCGCAAGATTTTGCTTCAGGCCTTATTTGTATCATATGGTTTTGGATCAGTACCTGCTGGGCAGACACCGGGTAAAGTTGTGTTAAATATTCAAGTGATTACTTGTTATCAAGTGATACCGATAGCAGGTAGCGAAGAGGTGAACATCGTACGAACCCTCACTGTCCCGTTCAAAAAGTCAGTTTTATTTTTTCTTTTCCTGCGTAGCAGTAGATTTCTTCGTTAATGTGATAATCGTTTGAATTCACATTCTTTGGTTTTTGTATGTAATGGAATATTTCATTTCAACTTCAAAAACCTGTTAGCATAAAAAAAATTTATTCATAATCCACATATCTCGCGGCATGCTTGTAGCATATTGCGGAGTCTCAATTGCGTTTTTTAAGGAAATCAAATTTTCGCTGTAGCAAAATGAATATGTTTGTCCATAAATGATCTCCGTACATCTAATGGCATGTATTTCAGTTCTTTGCTACGATCACTAACGAAGAACATGCTTATCAATCTGCTCTTTCCGCTCAGTGCAGCAGCTTATGCGTTTACCTATAATCGTGCTGGATATGATATCGCTGCGAGGACGATCGTTGTTAATGCTTAAAATAATTTTCGATTGGTTTTTATTACTTTGTACAATTTGATTACAATACAAAGACTGTATGCCGCAAATTAAACCATCATTATTTAGTGCGTGAGGACTACTGAACCGAATGAATTCTACAACGCACATTTTAAGCAACAGTTTTTCTGCTGATAACATTACCCGTCCTTGTTGATACGGAAAAGCAGTTTCCAAACGGGATGCATGGCATCACAAGGTATGAAACAATAAGATGACACATGATGTCACAAATAATTTCATTGTGAAACGGTAATGGGCATCATTCGATAATGGCATCACATCACTTTAATTAATCACTTTAATTATGCTATGAAGAATGAAGTTCAGCACTATTGTGAAGAGAGTGTAAGTGTAAGACCATGACCGGGTCAATACCAGTATTCCAAAACTTCTGTCTTCCCGCACTGCACATCTATACGACGAATCTCCATGTCTCTTGCTTTTTCATGAATCATGTTCTAATAGGATACCAGAATCAAGCAATCATCTACTGAATGGTTTTTCTTAAAAGCTACCAAAACGTTGTATTTGCTTACGGTAACACTATATGACTTTTGGATATTTGTGGAAGCATTCTAAACTGTCCGAAAACATTAACCTCCTCACTTCTTATAATGGAATCAAGTACATTCCATAAATTAGTTATTTCAATAGAAAAAGTGATTCAACGATTTGGAGGTGATGGCAATGGCTGTACGATACGCTGTTTTTGTTGGTACGCTTGACGAGCGATATTACGCTGCAAGCGGCTCAATCGATCATGCACGTTTTGCAAGACATTCCCAATTGCTGTAACTCGTTTTTTGGAATTATCCAACTTTCGCACATACAAGTCTAAATCATATGGTGCTTGTTGCTCCTCCGAAATTTCTTTCAGATCTATAAACAACCATGAAAGTTTACCTCATATCTTTCAAATTGTCGCCACCAGAAAGCTTCTAGAAAAAGAAGTCATCGGCAAAAAACGAGCTAAGTAACCTTCCCCTTAACCACTTATTATTTAATTGTATTGCACAGATTTCTTGATCATAATTCTTCATTTTGTATATCCATTTCTACTCGTTATGAAGGAAATAATGACATTCATAATCCCAGCCAATTGACATGTACTGAAGTACCTTCAATCAGGGAGAACAAATCAGCTTCATATCCTCCAATCTCTGGACAACCAAATACCGATAACTTACATTGCGCCAGTTCTCGGATATGCATATTTAAAGTATATTGACTGGCAAGTGCAGCATGAACGTGACTGTCGAGACGTTCCACTGCTGGTTGAACAATCCCCATAATTCCATTACTCAATAATACAGCACCACTATCAGTCATTTCATCTGGACTTGATTCCGCCATTCGATTCTTAGACAAATAAACTGAAACCTTGATCTATTAGAATGAAAAGCAATATAAACTCCAGCGTAACTACCAAACTTCAACACCACTGGCAAATCGGAATACTGTGAAATGCAAAACTACTAACCTTAAATTTTAATCTTTCACTTATATCAGAAAATTACTCTTCCCCATAAACAACATTCACGTTACATAATACCTATCAAATGCAGCCGGAGAAAAATGACAACCCCGTCCAGTAAAGTTCCAGTGGCATTCTACAGCGATGTTCAGGACAATAAGCTCTGGCTAAGAATAAACATAATTAAAAAGAACAAGTTTTAAAAATATTTCTTCTTCATTACTAAAACTTACATCAAAAAGTTGGTAAGAGAGATAAATACATTCGAAGATTTCAACAAAACAAAATTCGACTATAAAAAGTTTTTCACTCGTCAGATGACAACTGCGATATTCTCGTGAAAGACGCTGTTGAATATTAGAAAAGCAATCCTCGACCCTTTCTATCTCTGTGCAATAAGTTCAGCAAGTTAGAATAATTCTTTTCTATTCGTAATTCACTTAAAAGATTTTGAAACAGCATATGACAAAAACATTCACAAAACTCTTCAAGTATATCATTTCTTTATTTCTGCGGCTGAAGCTTCATAAATAGGATTCTTTTTCAGGATTACCAAGCCTTCCAAATATGGCGTTAGTGAGATATCTGAAAACAAAATTATTGAAGAGTATAAATAGTACTAAACAAATTTCGATGAATGATATATCTTTGAGATGTTAAAGCTCGATTTACCTTTAAGAAGTACGCATTAGTACTAAAAATAGTTACTGAAAATACAGAATGTGAGGTCCCAAAAATTATTCTTAAACTGTAGAAATACTCATAAATGTCTCAAAATCAAAATCTATTAGCGTGTAAAACGATTTATTGAAAACTCTATGCTTCCTCTAAAAAAACTCTTGGAATTTTGATAATTTTTCTAAAAAGGTAAATGAGGAATTATATGAATTGTAAAATCGAAAAGTCCCAAAACTGAGAGCAACTGGTATTGATCTAATATGGCGTAACTTAGATGGAAAACCCATGAAATAACCGTTTGAATAACAGTAAAAGAACTATCACTCATAAAAGTGGGAAAGGTAAAACTTTCTTCTGCATTGTTTGAGGTTTGCTAGTCAAACAATTAAAAAGGGATTAAAAAATTAAACTAACATTCTTCATTAGCAAGCTCGGCTCTTTCGCCGTAAGCCATCAGAACCGGCGTTGTATGAGTCTGAAAGCCAGTGATTGTTTTCGGTTTTCCAGCCTGAGCAACGACATCAACAGCTTGTCCTACTCGGACACTCACATTTACTTGTTTCAAATTCTCTGGATTCACTTCATCTTCAATCAGAGTTATCAACAATCGTGGCTGCATTGCCAGAGTCAACGAATACAGCAAATAATGTTGTCGATTGTTCAATACGGCTGTAAATAAACTCAAATATTTTCATTTCAAAAAATTTTAAGCTATTTAATAAAGCTGTAGCAATATAAATCATCGAAAATCATTAAGTTAGAGAATAACTCCAAAAATCGGCATGATGAACTGTTTTCAAGATGTGAATCCACTATAAGCAGAGCACTAAATTTTAGTATAAAATTTCAGATATTTCAAGTACATCACTGCCTTTTTCTTGCAATGCAAAAAGGAGAACTTACAATTATTGGCTTCCAAAAAGGCATAACAAATTGTAAGAAGCCCAGCAACTGCTGCAGGACACATAAGTTGACGATCAGAATGGAACGGATTCAACGTCATTGTTCCTTTACCCATATGCGTCATACCTTGAGCCAAACGAACCAACATTAAGCTTACCTAAAATACGTGGAAGCTTAGCATAACTACGAAAAGATAATAACCTGACCATGGAATATTAAGCAGAATAACCTCGTCGTGAAAGTAAGACTGCGATGCCTAGACAATTTAAGAAACAATAAGTTATGTTATTAAGAATTTCCAGTGGACCTAAACACGTGTTAGTCCATGTAACGGAGACATTTTAAACTTGAGAAAAGTAAGTAAATTGCACGAAACAAAAACTGTTTCATACCATGTATCAACTTATGACATCTACACAATTTTCAACAGTCAACGTATGGTACTGGAGACGTACTGAAAAGTGACTGCGATATTTATTTACCTGATCCTTGTGATGATAACTTGCAAGCTGTCGTAACATGGAAACAAGCCTTGCATTATTGGTACCAGCACCGACCAAACCCATTGCAAAAATTGCATTGTGAGCCGTTTCAGCATCAGCATCATGTGAAAACTTTGAAAGTGATTCCAAAATTGAAAGCTGGGGATTGGACGTACTAATTAAAGCTAATGCCAGCGGTACCGCACGTCTAATAACTGGTTCACCATAACGAATCTGAAAGATTTTTCACTACTTTATTCAAAAATAGCAACAATATTCAAACCAGCGAATGAATTAAATGGCAACGTCTCTACGAATATTTGTAATACACAATGGAATTCGCACGAAAAAAAGCACATAATCTGACTGTTTGCAGTATAATATTTCAAAATATATACCAAATGTCCAAACATCCTCAAGCTCATTTGTGCTCCAATTTCTTCACCCATAGCGATAAGACCAATACCAAGCACAGCTACTGCCTGCTGTGTCGAATAATCCGGTTTTTCGCTCGAAGCATCACCTTCCTTTTTAGGATCACTTTTGTCTTCTTTATTTGTCTAAAGTACAACAATAATTATATCAATTATATCAAGAATAATTACATCACGACAAAATCAATCATAGCCGTGATGAAAAATGAATGATAAGTAAATGCAAATGACAAACGTTTATGGAGAAAGTGCAAGTTTCTTAATCATAAGAACTACGAAACACAGCTATACATCAAATTTGTAATTTCAGATTTTTCTAAAAGTACAAGCTGGTTGATCTAAAATGATTCCATTTCAAAAAAGTACAAGCTAAAATGAATCACTACACATTTTTTTCTCTAATTATTTCCATTCTAAACATAATCTCCTATGCTACAGAACACATGCAAACAGTATAAATCATTATTGTATAATTTTTTTCATTTTCACAGAAAAAATCTCTAATCTAATACAGTCAGTAACCATTTCACCAGACCATATTATTCTTAATTCCGATCATATTACAGATACCAGTTAATTTTATAATAAATCGGAGATCGTGTCAATAAAAAGAAACAAATATCTACTACATTAACATGCAAGTACAATCTTTTGAATCAAGCATATTTCGGTCTCGACTGCATTTTCAAGATGATGCTATCAAACAGGAACATAAACAAACAGTAATATAGCATTTCAGTAATGTCGATGAAAGCGAATGAGCAAAGGATACAAGAATGTAAACGAGTTAAAAAATAAAAAAGTATGGTAACCGATGAAACACGAAAATTCAACCTTTTTTTTCGCCTCCTTTGTTTCTTTGGTTTCATAATGTTCGGAACAAATATGAAGAAGCTTTTGTATTTTCAATACATTCCCAGTTCCAGCATAAGCGCACACATCAATCAGTGTTGAAAACATGGTTCCGAAAGGGTCCGGTAATGCTCGCACCATTTCAACAAATACTTCACTTTTTTGTTGGGCACCTAAAGATGAAAGAATGAGCAACACACTTTCTTTTCATTACTATATTGGAAGAACATCCAGAATAACATACCGAGAAAAATTAGAGCAACTCCAAGAGCGACGAAACGATAATTTGAGTCCTGCAGTTCCACAGCCGTCTTTTCATTCAAATAATTGAATAACTCGCATGCTGTTATATGATCACACGTACCGACCAAAATGAATCCTATCGATAATGCCGCTAATCCTTTCACCTATTTTAAAACCTTTTAAAGTCATTTAAGATTAGATTCAATGATCATGTTTACCAAAACGGACATGCCTAATCAACTGTGTTGATACAACTAATTGTATGACAAATATGCACTTAAATGAGTCTCCTAAAAAATGTTATCTATTGTTTGCCAAAGTTTTCACTCCATTTATCCCTTAATATGATGTTGGTGCTTTCATCATCTGTTCTTAGCAGGAAGAAAGAAAGGAACAAAAATTACTTCAGGTGTGGCGGATGGTTTTGTATCTGACAACAACTTTTTAAGCTCAAATACGACTCCACCGTCTTCTTTCTTCAACACCGCAAGCCTCTTCGAATTTGCATATGCTAAGCCTAAGCCAAAAATAGAACCAATTCGCATAACCGTGCGATCACTATTTATGTGATCCATAAGGAGAGCGGCTGCGGGATCACATGTGTCTTGGATGCCTGAGGATATAATTCCTATTGCTAGAAGGGTACCTGCCTGAAAAATAACCGAGTTGATACGAATGGAGGAAGAGAAAAATCAAACAACATATAGTTCAGATTTCTTATTTGCCTCATTGCAATGGCCGGAACATAGCTCTCGTAAACTATTGTTGTATATGTAAGCTGATAACAATATCCAACATTTACGAAATCATCTACCTTAATAAAATCATCGTTAACATAAAGGAACCGATCGCACTGCGCTAAACCAGTATCGATGTCCCATCGCCAAACTAGTCCTTGACTTGCAGCAGCTGACAGCATCCCTACAAAGAAAAAAAGCTAAGGTTCGAAAATACCATTAGCATAACGTAAGCCAAGCGGTGAATAAATATACAAAAAATATATGAAACAGAACGTACCATATTCTTTATTTTTATAAAACCAGCGACTTGCATCTTCCGCTTCCGTCATCATTTTATCTACTCCAAAGCCAGTATTCACAAATCCATTAACAAATGCTGCCGCCAAATTTGATCGCACACTATCTGATGTGGATGAACCAGCAAACGGTCCTAGACAAATAATTACAACAAACGGACCAGAATCCTCTCTAGAACTTATCCTTTGACAATGACTGATTGGTAACGCCATCCACCAATCATTTAGCATAAATGGTAAAGAAATTATTGCAAAAATTTGTCGCAAAAAAAAGAAGTATTATTATAAATGACCAAATAAAAGCCTGAAAACTTACGACTCTGCTCTAAATGGCTTTTGTAGATTCCCTCCGGGGTTTTTGGCTCCATGATGTCAAGTTCTCGGGCCAGTGAATGAAAGTATGTATGTAGATTAGCATTTGAATTTAATTCCATCAGCTTTTCGCCATTTTCAACACCTTCTAGATCAAGGAAAATTTGATGCCGGCCCAATAAGATTGCCATCTGCTTCTGTTCCAATCTAAAAAAAAAAATTTGATGACCGTTTTCAAATTTTAGCATTCAAATAATAACTTTATTTCTGAACTTCATTATTCTTCCAAAAATACCCGAGCTTACATTCGTTTTTCAATATTATTACGACTAAATAAATTGCTGGACATAGTTACATGCCAGGTTCCAGTTATTCTGAGACGCTTTCCCTCCTGTCCTTGTTATATCCCTACCTTACACACAACACAATTCACCTTCGGAGATACCAACCATACACTTCATCCGCACATTGTGACATTAAATACAACTATCGAGGAAAGCAACATCATCTGCTCAAATTCAGTGAAGAAGAAAATTATTTTATATTTCTCTAAATTTTAGAAAAATTTATAGTTTCCTGTTTTCATTGGAAAAAAAGTTTCAGGAAATTCCAGAAGTGTTCTGTTAAAATGTTTTGTAGTAAGTCATTTCATATAAAAATAATAAAATCATAGTTAAATTGACCGACAGATTACAGATGAATAAATTCTGTAAAGAAAGACTATTAATGGAAGGAAACATGGACTTACATATCCTTTGTCCCAAGGACTATTTCGCGCATTGTTGGGACAGCATTCAACATTATAGCACATCTTAATGCATCGAAGTTCTTCCCGAATTTCCGGTAGATATTCATTGCTGTTTTGATCAAAATCTCATTATCCGGATCTGGCATTAACGGTGAGCAACTGAAAATGGGCATGACTACAACAAATTAAACCTCCTCAAAGAATCGAAATAAGTCAGTATAAAAATTCTTGAATATGTTGGATTTTAGCATATATGTCGTAATAACGGGCCCTTGCCACTTCAATGTGGTCTGGAAATGCTAGGATAGAAACCTTTCAAGGAAAACTATAGTCGCTGCCACATGTGACCGACTAAAGCTTATAAATAGATTCGAATTGGTTAGCATCTTAACTAGGTAATGAAACCAAAGAGATTTCAAGACATACTGTTAAATCTTCCTTATTAATGCATTATGATTTATGACAGCATTACTGTTGAGACTGTTCAAAATGGAGAAATGACGACATACCTTAGCAAATATAAACAAACCCGACCATGGTCAACTTCTTCGACATACTCAGACAACAGATCAAGTCTTTCAATTTCAATTAATAAATCACACGCTTCAACTTCAGCATTATGTTTCATATTGTGCAGTACAATTTCTCGAGTTAGCGTCAATAACTGTTCCCGACGCTCATTATGAGCATCGGTACCACCACCGCAGGAACGCCATTCCTCCGCCATTTCCATCGCTAAGTGTCTGCGCATGTAGGATTCAATATTACTCGTGAATGTTAGTTTATAATGTAATAAAGAAATGAAACATCAAACTTGAATAAAATTTGAAAATAGTAGGTTCATTTCACGAAAACTCCACCGGTCATATTTGGCTTACATTACACTATCTGCTGATCCCAATACACCGATATTCCAAATGTATCCATAATAATAATCGGGGCTCTCACCTTACATATTCATGTCCCCAATTACCAATTGGTTCGTGCTTTCCCATCATGCGATAATTGATACAGTCATTTTTGTCATCCGAAGTCATTGCTAAGACTGATATTATGTCAGCACAAAGTTTCTGCAATCAGTTCAGAATCAGAAATTTAGCTCGGTACAAAAAAAAATGTTCCGTTCATTACCGATTGTGATAAAATGGAACCATATTACAATTGATATTCAGCACTTATTGTTAAACCAATGCATGATCGCATCCACACCATAAAATAGCAGGTTTGCAGAGTAAATTTTTGCCGTACACCAACATTATTCAAATAAAATTGCATCAAATCCACATAGTTTTAGACTTAAATAATTTTACTAAAGTAGCTGAGAAAATATTTCAATATTCATTGAGTAACCGTTGCTACAGATAACCAAGAACTGCAAGTTATACATTACTTTAACAACTGAACCCCTAAGTAAGTCCCAGTTTCAGATTCTTGAATAATTTGACTGACCGCCAGTTGATAATAATGGTACTTTTTAATAAACTGTGTTATGCAATAACAAGAACCAACTTTCGCAGGTCCTTCTGCCATTTTTTTGTGGATTTCTTTAATTGCAGCATAATGTGGACGCATAAATTTCAATGGCTTTGGTACGGATGTCATGGAAGTTGTTGAAGCACGAATGATGCTTCGCATTGTCTCCAGTGTGGGTAGATACAATGAAATATCCGCTTCCTGAAAAAATTCTAAGAAATGTTTATTATCATTTATTCGGACGTTTTAAGATAATTATCTCGCTATAATCTAGTAATGTAATGTTATCTGTATACATTAAATGTGCATGTATTTTAGAAATGTGTATATATTTTGTATATGTATATATATGTATATATGTATATGTATATATATATACATGTATATATATATATATATGCTAAGACTGATATTATTTTCAGTTTAAACTGCCCGTTTTTCCCAGAATTAATGGAAACGGATAAATGGAATTTAAAAAAACCGTACGTTTAAACGTTGCATCAACATTTCCAAGTCTTCTTTCAGCTTAATATCTTCCTCAGTCTGGAATAAAAAGCATCAAAAGGATATGAAATTAACAGTAATTCTCAGGGTTTCTACCAGAAGAAGGTTAGATTTACTCATAGCTGGATTTAGAAAGCGACCGTGGTGGATCACATGCATCATAAGGCATCATATTATCGTCATACAACAAATTAAGCTACAATAAGCCTAAAAAATACAACTTTTCCCAAAGTCTTCCCTTCTTTTCCCTTCCCTTTATCTCGAAATCACCGCTACTTTTGAAGCTATCTCAAAGACTTGCTTACAAGGGTGAACATAGGATTATATGGGCTTTCCGTCCAAATACCAATAAAATCCATCGAATAATTTGTTGAAAAAAATTTAAACTAACCATTTCATCTTTTTCTTTCTTCTCTTCTTTCACATCTTTCTTTTCACTTCCATCCGTTAAACTTTTCTTCGTTATAATATCCTTTTTCTCTTCAGTCTTCTCAACCATGATTCTGGAGGTAGTGGATTGAGGAAATAAGTGACGGCTCAGATAAAGAAGCAACACGTGTACATAGTAACAGGCGTATTTAAAAGTTTTTCACATATATAACACACATAAGTAATTTCTGTTGATTTACACACGTTCTATTGCTTCATTCTTTATTTGTACTCGCTGTTTTTTCACTTTACTCATCGGATTTGATCATAATGTGTATCTTACTTTTTCTACGTACGCAAGATGACAAACTGTAAATATAAATTCAAAAAATCATTTAATAGGTTTTTACGAGGAACTGAAATCCTCGCTCTTACAAATAATGGAAATTTCTCGTGTGCGACTCCATGAAATGAATCCGTCGTACACGATTAGAAAAGACGGAAACCCTTTACTTTTGAATAAAAAGTGAAAACTTACGTAATATCTTAGTGAAACGAAAAATTTCTTACGTATATAAAATAGGAATTCGAGTATCTACAAACTAAAGCCCTTATTTCAGTGAAGTTAAAATTCTCACAGACATCTATGTGGAATAAAAAGCTGTCACATAGGCCTAGATAAAATGAAAATTTCCCACACCTTTCAACGCGAAAACCTAACTGTAAGCAGAAGTTGAAAACTTCTCATATTTAAAAAAAAGTTCTCACACAACTCCAAATAAGCGAGCCTGCTTGTTCTTAAATGAAGCAAAAGCGAAAGTTCCTTTGGTTCTGTAGGAAGAACTCTTACGTGTTTCCACGCAAAGTAAAGTTTTCCCATAACTTATGTTAAGTTACAGTAACCGAATACTTCGTTCATTTCCGTCGACAATTTCAAACGCGAAAAACTGTGACCCATTGTATAGTCGAGTCTCGACAAAAAGTAGAGAATATACGAGAGATAACATACAACAAAGGTGCATGAACTCCCAATATCCAATAAGGTGAAGCCTTCATCAAGTCCCACACACAACGACGTCAGAGTTACGTGATACGACCACGTCATGCCGAACAGTATTTCACGGATGAGCTAATGTTCCGACCAGACTGTTTGTTTACGTTGCGCTGTCATTTTACGTTTGTCGTTTTTCAACTCCGAACGTTCCGGTTCACGTCTCTCACTTTGTTAGTCCAAAGTTACAGAAGATTGAGCTCATCATCTACCTCAATCATATCCGTCCTCACTTGTTATGAAATTATATCTTTAACATAGATAAGGATTTACTAAACAGGTTACATATCTGCGCCATTAATATCAAGAGACATTGTCAATGTATAAATTTTTGTTCTTATCAATCGCTTCCATACTTCGAATTCCCTGGAATCCTTATGACTAAAAAAAAGCAATTTTAGAATCTTATCCAGTTTCCGTCATAGGCAGTATGGCTATTTTAGTGACTGATATTAGGCAGATGCTATAGTGAGTCATTATGGTTAGTAATATATATCCATTTCAAAAAACAAATATATTTTTATTTTGTTTGGTACCTCTTGTTTTTAATTTCAATGGCTACCATTAATTTTTTCCATAAATTTCGGCAAAACTTGTACGTCGCATGGATTTTTGAAATTTCTAGATGGGATTTTCAGTGTTATAGGTCACTTCTATAATTCTGGTTTCTTTGTTTTTTTTCCAGTGTAATGGCAACAAGAAGTCGACGAAGTGCAGGAAGTAATGATTCTTTAAACCCAGCAATGATACAGCTATATGATACCGGAAGATTACGTCGAGAACTGAAGCAGAGAGGACTTGATACAACAGGAACCAGGAATGTACTTGCTGATAGATTGCAGGTTCGTAACTTTTGTTGAGTTTCGATATCACTTGTATTTTTATTGTAGTTGTTTCTCCTAGGTTAATGAACACCTTCACTGATTACATTATTTAATATCATGGTATTAGAAGTCACAGTAGTGATAACAGCAGTTGAGGTGGACTACTGTTCCAAAAAAGTATTGAAATACTTTTATGCTAGTAATACCGACACTTGTGCCACTTCTAGCAACTTTTAAACTGGAATAGTAATAGTTAGTAGAAGTAATTTCATACTGTTGCTCTAAAAAATTTTTCAACAAAAGTCGTCCGAACAAAATATAGCGGTTTGGGTTTGATTAGTCTGTTTATTTAACCTAGTTTAAACTATCTTTCACTTTCGCGTGTGGGAATACTATAGTCTGCTCTTACAGTACCATTTTCCAAATGTTTCGTCATATGAAAATAGCTCTAATAAAACAATGATTAGCAAAAAAAAAAAAGAAACAGTATTAGTAATTTCACACAAGTGGAAGGAAACAGTCATGTTATATGGTAGAGATTAACTTATCTGCATATCTGCATTACAGGAAGCAGTTCTTTCGGAACGCAACAGTCGACAAGCATATTCTCCGCCACCGGCACCAGAAAAACCTGTCAAAAGAGGAACAAGAAGGCCGCTGAAGGAGGTAATTTTGTTTTTGAAAATCAAAGATCTTTACTGCCATTATGGTTTTGTAGCCGTTTTTTGGGCCAATTTAAAAAGCAAGAAACAGACTATTCGGAGATGTTTGGTTAGATGTAGGTTTAAAACTCCCTAAAAACTTCATTGGAGATCGGATTTTCAAATTTGTTCCATTTCAGGACGAAGAAAATGAAAATGAGACTGGATTGGATTCGGAACCTATCATCTCTCCAAAAAGCAAAAAAAGGTCGACATAGCGAGGAAATTGATGAGATCAGTTTGATAGAAGAATCTTTTTCTATCGAGCTTTCGGTAAAACCATTTCAGATCGTTTTAATTTTAATGCAACTGTTATCGAAGAATTAGTTTTCCATTCCCATTCATCATTACGAAGTTATAATATAAATGCAATTATAAGTTATCCCGACCATCCTTACTACAACTTCCAGTCTTAGTTGTTTTACTATTTACCTAAATCACGTACTTTTTTTCAACCGATATATTTTTCTTTTTCCAGAATATATCCGCAATTGATGAAATACAGATGGAAGCAGAAAAGGCTTTCGTACCACACTGCGTGTCCGATACTACTACAGTTCACGGAGAACCATTTCATATGCTAGAAGTTGAAAAAACTTTAACATCGAATGAAGAAACAAAATCTAAAATGGAGTTGGTCCCGTGTGAAGTGAGGATTCCTGAAATGTTTCTATTGTTTAAAATTTGATCAGGCTGTATTCAATAACTTTGGATGCCGATTATACTTGATCGAGTATGCAAGCTCAGCGTAACATCACTTTTCATTCTGTTCAATCATATTTTGACTGAATATTTTTGAAACGTCCTTCTGTTTTCAGCCGAAAAACTGAAGACACCTCCAGATGAAAGCAAACATCGGGAACCGAAACACGGAAAGAAGGTTACGGAAAGAGTGATAGTTGACGGAGAACTGACTAGCTCCAGTGATGATGAAGAATTAAGATGGCTTTATAGAACAAGAAGGGGCAAGAAACCTCGGAGAGCTTTACTTGAAGAAAGACATACATTTACTGACAGCAATAGCAAAAACGAGAATGAAACAGATGAAATAACAGAAGCTTCTGCTGTGAAATTGATTTCTGAGGAGGGTCAAATAAGTGAAAAGGAAGATGAGAGAAGTATTCGAGAACAGAGTTCGAAGTCATCTTCAGAATCGTCAAAAACGACAAACTTTGTCAGTGTGAATGAGAAACCAATCAAAGCTTTGATTCAGAAAGGTTCAATCAAAATTAAGTTCAAAACTAATCTTTTAAAAACCACAACTGAAAGGACGTCGGAATTGAAACAGAAGGAACTCCTACCTGGTTCCACCAGTTTAATCGCAAAAGACGGAAAAGTGAATGCTGATGTGACACTGGTCACTGCTTCGCAAGTGGTAAGTATGTTGTTCACTTCACCCTATAGTTTATGTCTCTATTTTACCGGCATGATTAAAGGACGCTATCATAAATGTTTTTCAGGAAGTTGATGGACTACTTTTTACACACTCAATTAGACAACACTCGAGATTAGGAGAAAATATATATATGTTAGCCTTCAAGTTTCAGTGTACAAGTAATCTGTTTTACAGGAAAAAACGAAGCGTGCATTCACTCCACCACTATCTTCACCAAATACTGAGAAATCAAAAGACCAAATTTCCCGCAAAAAAATTCCGTTAAGGATGCAAGCACCTGTTGATGTACTAGATACTATTTTCGACAAACAGGTAAAACTTTGTGTGGGTCTTCTTTAGCTTCTGTATTCACCTATCGGTAGCGATAAATAGAGCATTCAGTTAAGGAGTAATGACAGAAAGTGTATTTTACAGTGGTTGTTTTTCCGATATAATTGCGAAGTTGTTTCAGGCCCAACTTTTGTCAAGCAAGTATAAGACAGAACAAGAAAGAGCTCTTGAAAGACAGAAGCTGGAGATGGAAAAACGTCGTCAGAACGCGATTCCCCCGGTAGTTTCATTATCCACTACATCCTCTACAGGACAAGAGAAGCGCAGACATGTTGATTTTATCGTTCCTTCTAAATCATCATCAGACCAACATATCTTACAACAATATTCCGGCTGGTCAACACCACCGGATCTCCGTTCTCATCTCCCGTCATCATCGCATATTCAGGAAAGTGAGTATGTGAAAGCATCTTAAACTTTTTTTTTCTGACTGGATTGGAAATTTTTTATTATCATCAGAACAGCACTGTTCAAACATTTAATACCGATGCATTTCCTGATGGTCGGGAAGAGACTGACATGAATAACGATAGCATGACCACCGACAGACTAATTCAGGACTGGTTAACTTTGTCAGCTAACTTTGCTAAACTTTGCTAATTTTGTCATTCATAAAATTCATCTCTCCTTATTCATCTTTTCTGTTCTTTTCAAAAGTTTTATCAGTAGTCTTTTCTCTGTTTCTTGTGAGAATTGTAAAAAGTTACATCCTCTTAACGGTTAGCATTATGGATTTCTTTCTGAAAGTTAAAGTAGGGGTCGCATTACCAATAAACGCGCTGCTGTATTGGTATTTCTGGTGAACATATCCTATTATTTGACATGATGTATTTTATGCTTTTCTACTCCATTCTTTTACAGACATTTCTGATGTTTTTATTGAATAGTCAGAATTCTGTCACAAAAGAATCCTTTCCTCGTATATGTTGATGGAAACATAACTTATTTTTTCTTCATTACTTTGTTTTTCACTTTCAGATGCTAGTATAGACGAAAAACGCTTGTTGGCACAGTTACCACCACCTCCACCACCACCACCGCTACTATCTTGCTCTAAAAAAACGTCGATGCCATCTACGTCAAGTGCAATTTTCGAAAACACACTGGAAATAGAACATTCGAAGGATGAGGGTATCGAGGAAAACATAGTATCATTGATGACTCCAGCAACTCCGTGTTCAAGCGATTCTTCATTATCCATCAGGACTCCTCCTTCAATTCCTTGTTACAAGAGCCCGTCAGAAACCTTGATTGAACCTTTGCATTCAATTGAAGCATCTACTTCAAGTACTGCTTCAATTACGAAAATTGATTCCGAAAGAATAAAAGAAATGGCTTCCGCTTTACAAGCCGTATTTGCTCGTCTAGGTAATGTTCCACCGCCTCCAGCTGCTCCTCAACTTAGTGCAAACGAAAATAATGCAGTGGGAAAGGCAAGCATATTTATGATCTCAGATCCTGCTATATCGGAGGAAAATCCTTCCAGTAACGAGCCGCATATGATCAATAAATTGGGTAAAATTAAAAGTGGACCAGGACATGTCGATATGATATCTGGGACTTCAGTGATTTGTGTCACCAATAATGAATTAGCACGTCCAGCGTGCGTTACACAGGGGACATCTTCAGCACCGAACAATATGATTCTGGAAAGCGACACTTCAACTCCATTACAGCCAATATTGAATCTGAGTGATAGCACTCATTTCGTTGAAGAAGTAAGTTTTACATTTGAAGTTATTTAAAACTATATTTTAAGACTTAATTTAAAAAAAAAAAAACTAGGAAAACAGGACGAAGGAAATGGTTAGGTGAAATGATTTCATGAGCTTATTTCACATATATATGATTGTCTTCAACATGTCTTAAATTACAAGGCATTTGTAGCTAGCTTTTGTGTTTTGATAATTTAATAAGATGAAGTTACTGAATTAAAATGAGTCGTTCTTTATTAATTCGACACTGAGCAATCCATTTTTTACAATATCATTTTTTTTTTTAGTTTGCATCTCGTTTGCCAGCAGAAATTACAAATGACTTCGATGGAGAGGTTGTTGCATCCATTGTCGAAGAAATCATATGTGCCACAGTGAATGGTGGACTTTCGATATGCAACAGTCATCCCGATGACAGGAATAAAAAAACAGAGGAGCTGGAGAGGTGCATAATTTTATTACTACTGTATTTTTTGGCTGAGAAACATACACATGTATTGGTTTTCTCTATTAGAAGTGTCAAGAGTCTGCATTCAGAAAACCAGATATATCGGAAGATTTGTTGCGAGATCCAAGACGCTTACTTCAGAAAGCAAGTGATGTGCTAAAAAGTTTACAGTCAATGGAAATAGCAGCAGAGCAAGCGTCGGCAGGTATGTGGTATAGTTTGCATTAAAGTGAGAATATTTTATCGTATTTATTGATTGAAATGGTTTCAAATTTAAAGTAAATGTCTAGCTTGCATGTCACCAGGATCATTTCCCATCTGTTAGTTCACAACGCTTCTGTACCCATCAGTAATCCATTAAAGTACCTTGGCCTACCCGCTTTTTGATCCAGATCTGTCAAATAAATATGTCATCAGCGGACGCTCCTGGACGGCTTCCAGAGTTGTGAGATCAGTTTTCTGATAACGGCAGCAAATAGTTTGTCCTTAATATAAAGATATTGCAGAAAAACAAAATCAACAGCAGTACGAACAGTTACCATTGGACGAAAAGTATGAGGAAGATGATAATGAAGACAAACCATTGCCTGATTTTCATGGAGAACCGGTGCCTGATTCTGATGATGAGATTATAATCGAAGGTGTAACTCGGAAAAGAACCACCAAAAAGAATGCAATACAGGAAGAAGAACCAGTACCCGGCGATGAACAAGTTGAAGTTGATTTCTGTAATGTTTTTGCGAAGCTATTCATTCACGTTTGGTTGGTACTAGGATTCTGATTTAAGTCCGTTTACTTAGTTGATTAGTGTTATCTTCGTGTTTTTCTTGATGTGGAATATGTTCATTGTTTCTCAGTATTACTTATAGATGCACTCGGTTCTCGAATGCGCTCATGCAGAACTTTCTAGCAAGAATAACCATAGCATCACATTCATATAGGGTTTTCTGTAAGGACTAGCCATAGCGCCAGGGTCATCAAATCATTCGGGGGCATCATATGCCTTGTTTTCTTGTTCGTGTCACAGCTGCGCATCAGAGAAAGCGGTGCATTGGGTATTTCTCGAGAATAGCGCTCGATACGAGTTGTCAGTAGTCTAACCATGTAGTAGGTTGTGGTTAATTTGCTGCACAGATTGCTGCTCATTACTGAGCTTGCATGTCTCAAAGGATTTGTTTGTTTCAAATTTATTTGAATTGAATTGAAGTTGGAAATGAACAAATTTTGCACTGGACTCTTTCAAGGTGCAAATTTATGATAGTTATATTCAGACAATGCGGATTTAAACGTTAAAGCAAGTGAGACATGTCAAGAAATCATCGATCCAGATAACGGTGATGGCTTTGCTCTTATGTGGGGTGGAGCCAGGTCGACATATGGCATTCAAATTCCTTCAGATGTAGCTGGTTTTCCTACTGTTATATTTCAAATTAAGGTTTGGTATTTGTTTGATATTTATTTTGCCGTTTTTTTTTCGTCTGTTGTCAGTTGTCTTACCGTGGAAATTATATATGATTTCTCATTTCTCGGAATTTTGTTTTGTCGCTGGAATTACAACTTGAACACTGTCGTTTTTTAGTCCAATTAAATCCAATTATATTAGCAGCAAGTAAGTGTTTCTAGCTGTTGGACTGTTTGCCAATCAAACATCTACCATTCGAAGAGATAGATGCTCATAATGTTCGCGTTGGATGGTCGACTCTGAATTCTACAAATATTGTTATTTTTTTCTCCATGCTTATAAAATTCCATGTTATGAGTATTTAAGCAGATGTTTTCGTCTTTACTTTTGATTACATGACTCGCAAGTAGTTAATAATGATGATTTTTGCATATGCTACGTATTTGATTGAACCGTCTCATTATTTTCAGCTAGGAGAAGCACCCCATTCTTATGCATATGATTTATTGGCAAAAAAAGCTACAAATAACTTTTTCACAGATTATGGTGAGCCTTGTCAAGTTGGGGACGTTATAACTTCATGTTTGGTAAGTTTTAGTATAACTCTTATTTGTTTTAGCACTTTATATAATGAAAAAAAAAAAAACATACTGGTTACCCAACTACTCGTAAAATTTTCAGGATTTGGCATCAGGCAAAATACATTTCTGGAAGAATGTAGAATATTTGGGAGTGGCTTTTTCCGAAGTCCATTTTAACGAAAACGACATCGTTTTCCCTCACATTTGCACCAAGAATTACAAACTCTCGGTAAACTACGGTGACAGTCAGTGTGAGGGATGGATGTCAATCACAGAACTTCTGAAGGATGGAGCATTAAATATTGGTACCTCACCCATTTACTTCAGCAAATTAGATCGGACAGTACTTGTTCGCGGTTCAATTCCACCATCAAGCAAAAGTGAATGCACGGTAAATGACGTTATTTAGGAATTTCATTTGGATTGGATGTTGCCATTTAACAATCCATTTGATCCATTTAACGAAATTTATTGTTTTTTTTAAATATTTTTAGCTGGGAACCCAATCACCAAACATTCAGGCAGTGGATGGATCAAAAAGAAGGCATTACTGCACTATTATTGTTAAACTCCAAATAATATCCATAAAAGTGGAAATTTTCTAGGTTCTGATGATGGTAGGTTTGCCGGGAGTTGGCAAAACAACCTGGGTGAGACAATATCTTCGTGAGCATCCGCAAGAACAGTGGACTTTATTGAGTACTGACACAATACTTGCAGCAATGAAAGTTAATGGAGTACCAAGGAGTAGGGTCCATCAGGTAAATTATTGAATATGTAGTAAAAGTTGCAGTAAATGATCTATCTAGTCAAAAAACATGTCCCATATAATTTCGAAAATATTGACTATTTTATTTTTCCAAAGGACATTGTTTTCAGGGTCGATGGGATATGATAATGGGACTTATTGCTAAAGCACTCAATCGTTCCTTGCATTTAGCGTGTAGGCGACGCAGAAATTATATCATTGACCAAACTAACGTTTCAAAAGATGCAAGAAGACGAAAGCTATCCCAGTTCAAAGATTTTCAAGTACTGAATTCCATCTCTGTTTAGTTTTGTTGCAGATATTTGACATCTTTGCTAGTGCTATAAAAACAAGAATAAAAAAAAAAAACTAAATTGCAAAAATCTATGTTGTTTCTAGGTTATTCTGATTTAATCGGATACTCCAGTAAAGAATAATCTATTTATACTACCTAAGCGAAAAATCTAAAGTTTTATTGTTTCTGCATAATTTGCTACATTTAGTTTTGACTATTTTTAGCGCAAATGTGTTGTTATAATTCCATCTGAAGAGGAAATGATTGCCCGACAAATGAGGCAGTCGCGTATGGATGGAGCTGGACCAATACCCGTAGAAGCAATGTTGGAACTTAAAGGTAGCTTTTGACATTTTTAGTTTTGAAGCATAGATTTTGAAAAGCGAACATTAATCTATTAAATTTATGCTAAAGCAAAAAGAGGGAGCATTTATCTTGTAAAGAAAAGCAAATATTCTACATAATGCCTTATTCGGTGTCAGAATTTTGCAGAGACTAGGACGGCTAGGATTTTACAGAAACTAGGACGGCTTCTATTTTTTTTCATAAACGAAGTTTACGTTTCTTTTAGTTGCTTCATTCTAAAGCCTGCATTATTTACTGCTGTGATCTACCTAGCATAAAATTCATTTCTGCATTTTCGATATTTTGGTTAAAATATTTATTGTGTCCAACTCTTTTTCAATTCACTTTTAGTATTTATTTTCAAAATGATTTCGATGCCAGTTATACATGGTCTTGTTTTTCCATTCGATTTTCAGCGATGTTATCAATACCAAATGTTGAGGTGGAACCGATTGAAGATGTTTTCTTCGTAGAACCACCACTGGAACGGATTGGTGATGCTATC